ACGTGCCATCACATCCGGATTTGGGGTGTGACAGGCATAGAGATAGCTGCAATGCTGGAGTGGGTGAAGAAGATAGAGACTTTTTAATTAATTTTTTTGTTTTTGTATTATTTTATTCTTTTACTAATATTTTTAAAACTGAAATCTAGTAGTCACTCGCCTTAATGAGTGTGAAGTCACACACTTTCGCCAACTCAGCCATCTTAAAGACACATAAGCGTGGTCAATGGTCAGAGGGGTTCGATAAATTGGGTTTTATTGAGTTTAAGGGTCCAGATGACAAAGGAGTAAGTAGAAGGGTTCAGAATACAAACTGATACAAGTATAAGGGTCCACCAGACCATTTCGCCAAATCTTAATAATCAATAACTAAACCTACAAACCAAAAGGTCTAGTAATTACACTATGAATAATTGAGACTAAGATTTTCATTAAGTGCTAATATACGAGGTGCGTGAGCCACGTACATATATATACACTACAAGAAAAAGGTGAATTAATGGGAATTTTTCTGGGGATTACTATGAAAATTTGCAGGAAAACAAATTTCTGCAGATTTTCATACTAATCCCTAGGAAAATCCCCATGTAATACACACTTTTGTTGCAGTCACACCTTCGATTTGCAAGTAGGGTATCAGCCCATCACAACTCTCGCCGACTTAGGATTCGCCTCATTGTCTGATCAAATTTTCTTAAGCTCAGTATCATCCGGCACTAAGCTCCATCCTATTGTCATCCCTAATAGTGATTCAAATCTTTTTGCAACGTGCATCATTCTAAGGGGACATGGGGTTGTAGGGATCCCTCAACGGACCCAATGAGCTGTACGTACATATTTGTTTTTAAAGTTGCACATGATTTGTACATAATTGAACAATCTATTTAAATACACAAATTTGTTTTTTAAAACAAAAAATATTGTGCCACACCATTCTTGAATGAAGAAAAAGTGTTGAATTGGTATTTAGTGATTAAATTCCTTTGATTAGTACCATGGCTAAGATTTCTTCAAACTTCAAGAGATTAATCAAATTTGATTCTGTTAGTTTTATATTTGGGCATATAAGTAAGAAAGCTATATTTCCTAATGAGTGTAGCAACGCACGTTGAGAAATTTAGTAGTTTGATAGAGGATTATTTTAATTATCAGCAATATCTTGATGATATTTATTTACGCTTAAAAACATCCAGCTAATCACAGATCAACTAAAAAAAAAAAGTATATTTTGCATCCCAAATATGATGTAACGTGCCACACATTATATGTCGTTCACTTGGGTAGTTAGAAATTGACGAAGGGCTTATAAAATTGAATATATACTAATATTAATTAATATTTAATGGAGAACTTATACAAATTATACTAGTTTAAGAGTTAATTAGTTAGATACATTCTAGTTTGTTATATTATGTCTCTTACCAGGTTTTTGTGCCTCCAGATACGTCCAGATATATGTATCCCATATACATGGGGTAAGTGTAATTTGTTCTATATACATTGTATCCAAGTGGATTCGCATTACCTGGGATGCATAGAAAATCTCGCTCACCTCTCTCATGTGTATCTAGTAGCCCAAATACATGTGAATCACTCCAGATACATCCAAATATATGTATCTAGTGTGTATCTAGTGTGATTCGCATGTATCTGGGAAACATACGAATCTCGCTCACTTTTCTCCCAATCCCACTCGCCTCTCTCCCTATTTTGTGTAGTTTGTAACAAAAGTACATGTATTTAAGTGTAAGATACGTAGGAAACTCTTAATTAGTGGTAAGATACGTAAGATTTTGAATGTATAAGTAATAATAGTATATATGGTAGTAAAGTATGTTTAATTATACATGTAGTTTTCCATATTTAATCTACATACACTAGATAATTTTTTGGCGAAGATGGGTATCAACCCACTGTTTGTCTAAGGTGGTTCCGCTCATGATGTCTTTTAACACCCCACATTATATGTCGGCCAGCTTGAATTTTGAAAATAAGGAAAATGAACTTTTTAATGGAAGTCTATTAGGAAAAACAAGTTTCCTAAGTGATATTTAAAATTTATTATCTCCTTCTCACGTCCCCAATCCCCGCCTCTTGACCATCCCAACCCCGAACACCCAATCCCTGCCTTTTTATTCCCAATCACTTTAGCCAACTTTTTTCTCTCTATTGTTTAATAGGATTTGATCATTTGTTCCATTCACGTCAAGTTTAGTTGACATTTTAGATCATTAACTTAATTATCAAGGATTCTATAGCTGATTTGTTTTCAATTATTATGATTAATTAAGCTGGAGTTATATTAATAGATTTCATTAAGTTTAATACTATTACAATGATTCTTTCACATTATAGAGAGAATGAGGGATAATATAATTTTATTAATAATTGTTCACGTGTAACAATATATAAAGTCCCTTTCCCATACACAAATTTAGAGAAACCAAGTTTAGAGCAACAACTTATTATTTCATATCTTCCAGACTAGCTATCAGAAATCAAATTTGAGAATTATATTTTGGTTAATCTGGTAAGTGAAATTAATCACCCAATTATTTGTTATCGCGAATTTTAACTTTATTATAGATGCTTTTAATTAGAGTTATTAATTACTTGTTCGTTTTCTGTAGTACTACTATGGCAATAATATATATTCCCAGTAGCAGCACAATGTTTCCAATGCCTCAAAAAGTACTGAGACAAAATAGAGAGGTAATTTCAACGTTACGAAAATATCTTATTAATGTCAGAAATATATATATATATATATATATATATATATATATATATATATATATATATATATATATATATATATATATATATATATATATATATATATATATATATATATATATATATATATATATATATATATATATATATATATATATATATATATATATATATATATATATATATATATATATATATATATATATATATATATATATATATATATATATATATATATATATATATATCGATCTCCGGTCTAATAAATGTAGCTTAATTTTTGGTTCTCATTAGGTTGTTGTCCCTGAGGAAATCGGCCGCGCCAGAATGCTCACATTGAATCGGCCTAACCATTTAAATTATTTATCACGCGAAGTGGTATATATATATTTATACTATATGATAAAAATATATGTATAGTTATAAAATGGCTATGGCATGTTCACTTAATTATAATTTTTTTTTATATTAGGCATTAACGCTCGGGCAGAACTTTGAGAAATATGAGAAAGATGATAATGCTGATTTTGTAATTATCAAGGTAAGGACTAATTAAGAAGTATCTATTTTGCTTTACCATGATACCCTTTTAATTTGGTATTAGTTGACATATATGACCTCCAATTTTAGATGTGCACACGTCCTACGTGACATAATACATGTAGGACGCGCAAATTGTTCAATTATGAGAGAACACATAAAACCTCCTAAACTTGATCGCCGAACTTACTTTAGCATTTAAACTACACGGGTGTTTAAATATCTATCTTAGCATCTTTCAAGTGAATTTAATATCACCCTGAGATTATAACACCACTCTCACCCGCCACATCATAGCCACATAAGCGCCACATCATAGCTATGTAGGCACCACGTCATTAATTTTTATTTCATTTTAACTTAGTCACCATTTTTTCTTAAACACTTTTTAAAATTAATTACATCAATCAATTAATTTATAAATGCATAACCCCCCCCCCCCCCAACTCTCTTTCTTCTTCCTTGTTTTTTTACCATTTCAACCTTCAATACTTTCATTTCTTCTTCTTCACTATTCAACAATTATTTTTAAATAACTTTAAAGAAAGAAAATTCATTATAGTATTCACATTATCTTGTTCGAATCCTCCCCATGAATTTGTCCTTTTGAAGAATGTATTTTTTGAAAGTCATTTTTTTCTTGACAACTCAAATATGAAATAAAGATTGCCTAAGAAGATTGATCCAAAAATGTGACTTGTTCTTTTATTTTCTATATTATAAAAATGTGACCAGCTTGGTCACACTTTGATTAGAAAAAAGAGAAGAAGATAGTTTCATATTTTCTGCATTATAAAATAATAGAAAATTAAAATAGGTTATTCGAAATTTAAGAAAGTTTATATTTGTGAAATCAATATAAATAAATATGGAATGAATTCGACGTCAATAAAATGACATTGGTATTAAATTTTACAGATTATTAAAGGACTAGTATAATGAAAATAGTGGATAGAGGTGCGGATGAAGATGGAGGAAGAGGTATTTCAATGTAAAAAGAGGTGCATTGGGGAAGACAACAAAATGAAAAGAAAAAAAACTTACCGAAATTAAAAAAGGGGACCCACAAATTTACATTACCTCTAAATAAGAAAATTTAAATATTTTTTAAAGAGGTACTAATATATCAAGAAAAACTATTAAAAATATTAGTTATATATTGGTCAATAAAAAAAGACCATGTGTACGATTTTACAAAATTCAACTTTTTTTTTCTCATTTTTCAGGTGCTTTTAGGAGAGTATATTCACTCTCTCCATAATGTCACCCCTTAAGGTGATATTTAAATCACTTGAAAGACGTTAAGGGGGTATTTAGTCACCGTGTAATTTAAGTGCTAGAATAAGTTATGCGGCCAAATTTAAGAGAGCTTTTATGTGTTTTCTCCTCAATATATACATGTTTAAGTGTCTGATTTTATGTACTATACCTTTTATTTTAAATTCTCATTCATTTGCTCATATATAGGGAGCTGGTCGTACTTTTTCTGCTGGTGGGGATTTGCATTTGTTCTACAAGGGACGAAACACAAGTAACTAGTTCTAAATTTTCCCTTTATGTTTTTCATTTGTTACTATATATATATGTTAGAAACTATTGAATTATTAATTAATTACTACATGTTCACTTAAACTCATGAGTATACATGTATATTATATGAAGGGGATTCTTGCCTTGAAGGTGTTTATAGAATGTATTGGCTTTGCTACCACATTCATACTTACAAGAAACCACATATTGCTCTTGTCCATGGAATGTCTGTGGGTGGGGGTGCATCCTTGATGGCTCCAATGAAATTCTCTGTGGTCACTGAGAAAGCGGTCAGTACATATATCTGATTTACGTATAATTATCTTATAAATGACCTGATTATACGAATTAAGTCGATATTTAATTTCAAGTTGTCTAACATTTTTGTTGATCGAATTTTACAGTTTAGTTCCACTCCTGAAACAAATATAGGGTTCCACCCAGACTGCGGCTTCTCATATATGCTTCCGCGTCTTCCAGGTCGACTAGGTAAGCGCTAGACTTGACTCCTACCTCGTATATTAATACCGAATAATATGATACAAGTAAAAGAGAACCTCTCCAAAAATATGTTAATTAATTAAATGTATGTATGTATATATGTAGGGGAATACTTGGGCTTAACAGGAGAAAAACTAAAGGGTAAAGAAGTGGTTGCTGCTGGACTAGCCACTCATTTTGTTCCTTCACAGGTTTATCTCTAAGCTTTTCCTTTCCTTCAGATATTCACCATACACTACAACAAATACCAAATTTTTATATTTAGCGGTAATAATATAATATAAGTATATTTATAACCAACACTCTATATATATAAATGCCGCTAAAGGTTTTAGCAACTCTAAATATAATGACTCATGAATTGCCGCTAAATATGATATTGCCACGAAATATCTCTTTTGCTTATAAATTTTTTTTCAAATGTCAGAAATTATTTCAGCTAGAGAAGCGTTTGTTGAGCATAAAAAGTGGTGATGAGGATACTATTAGATCTGTCATCAATGAATTTTCCACAAATATTCATATTGATGAAAGAAGTATCTTGAACAAGTAATGTATCATATAATTAAATTATTATATTTTGAGCTTTTTCTTTGAGATGAGATATTAAGAGTAACATTTTTATTTTTTCCAATTTACGTGTAGGTTGTCCATAATCAATGAGTGTTTTTCCAAGGATTCTGTGGAGGAAATTATTGAATCATTTGTAAGAATTACTTTTTTTATTAGAAGCTACTCCTTTCTTCAAATTTATTATTACATGATACTTTTAAAATTTTGTACCAATAATCATTGCATACTAAGTTAAAAATTCAAATTTTTATAAATTTATTTTGATGTGGCTCATAGCATAACTTTTTGTATGGTTAACGTTTCAGGAAGCTGAGGCAAGCAGAAAAGGAAATGATTGGATTATGGCAGTGCTTAAAACCCTAAAGAAAGCATCTCCAATCGCATTAAAAATAACATTGAGATCGGTAATAAGTCCTTTATTATGCTTATTAAACAAGAAAAGGAACTTTATCAAGCGGCTCAAAACTCTATATACTTTATGGACAAAAAGAAAAAGAACCTTACTTTTTCCTAAATTATTTTTTAGATACGAGAAGGAAGGACACAAACTATATCTGAATGTTTGAGGAGAGAATTCAGGATTTCAATGAACATACAACGAGCCATAATATCTGGTGATTTTTATGAGGTAAGTTTACAAATTCTTTTAAGTAAACTCAATCTTATGTACTTGATATGTAGAAGTACACTTAATTTTCGATTTCTAATTTAAAGTTCATTGATATTTTTTATTTATGAAGGGCATAAGGGCTCAGATAATTGACAAGGATAAGTCTCCAAAGGTATGCACCTTTTTTTCTTTTAAGTATTAAATACATAATAGTATTTCTCAATATTGAATATTAATGTGTTTATTAAAATATTTCTCTTCATTTATATATAGTGGAACCCTTCAACTCTTGACAAAGTGCATGATGATCAACTTGACTTAATCTTCAAGCCATTTGAAGATCATGACTTGGAACTTCAAATTCCTGTAAAAGAAGAAGAAGAATACAGGTACAAATGAAGTCATATATTGCATTATATCGAACAATGGATTTTGCAATATTATTATTTAATTAGTCATTAATCTTGCATTTGATCTAATAATTAACAGGTGGAGAGGAAAATATGAAAATTCTAGCTATTCTCATCCCAACTAAGTGAACGTTCAAAAGGCCTCCCAATTAATATCGTCTCGTGGAAGTGTCCTTGTGTAATTTATTTTCTGTCATTAGTAACATACAACAAAGTATATAGTTATTTGTTACAAAAGGTATATGCAAGTGTACACGGTCTCCAAGAAATACAATGATTTGAAGTAGTCAGATATTGATCCCATGGCAACTTGATTTTACAGTTTATCAAATTCAATTGGAGTAATATATATTATCAATAAATCATGCAAGTGTTTTCATGACCACAGTCTTGTTTTTGTTTTATAAGCCAGCTATTGCAAAAAAATAAACTAATTAATTACTCTATTTTTAAACTAGCTAATGTTGAGACGTATATATATATATATATATAAAGCTGAATGTGAAAACAATGATGTGGCACCTCTTAGATGCCAGGATTCCTATTTATCTATTATCTCAAATATTTAAATTATTTTCTCATACTAAATACAATATGCTTTACTATATTATATTTAATGTGTATAGCATTAATTGCATCGCCGTAATGGAAAGACAATCATCCTTCATGGAAAATAAAGGTTTAATTACAAATCGCCATAATTACGATTTCAGAAAAAATATTATTCCACTATCCTAATTCAAAACTTTTGCTCTTCTCCATGATATATTAAAAAGTATAACTCACCCGATAAAAGACTCTTTATTTTTCTTTAAATGAATTCTTTAAGTTACAACATTATATTATTAATTCTCTGTTACTTAATTATAGAATTCGAAAAGTTTTGCACTATTAAGATTTAAACACAACTACTCCAATATAAATAGGCCTACAATATGCATTCACTTCTCACCTTTACATGAAACAAATTTAAACTTTTTGCAAGAAGTAGGTAGGATAGAAAGAATGAGGCCAAAAAGATAAGGCCATAACAATTCAAAATTATTTTGTAAGCTCGAAACATTAGTATCGGAGCAGTCTTGTGCTTATGTAATAATGTTTGATCAACAATACATTATACAAAAATATTTCATGATACATTTCAAAATACCAGGCTTTTGCTAAGCGTATAATATTTCATTGATATTCGAGTGTGAGAAGAAGAAGAAGAAGAAAGAAGAAAGAAGCAGGAATTGGAACTTTTGAAGAAGTTTTTAGCCTTAATCTACAATTAATTTGATTTATTTTTCAATTCCATGTAGCTATTTTTCTTCTTGTATGTTGTCCATCTTTGACCTATTGAAATATTTTAAATATAAATGACATTTCGATATTGGGGTATTTTGCATACAATATTAGATGGATTATATCATCCAAGAGCTTAAACTAAGAGGAAAATACTTCAAAGAACGAACTTGCAGGCCCTCAAGATCCTTTTCAAGTTTGAATTTGTTCATTTGGAATCTGGGGAAAAAACACTATAACAAACAAAGAGAAATAAGAAAATATAAACATAGAGTTGTCAAGAAAAAAAGTATGAAAAGAAATGGATCCATGTAATGTCGAAATTAAAGTATAATTTTTAAATAATAATTCATTCATTTTGTTTCATAAATAGTCATCTATAGTTTGTTCCATAAATAGTCATTATAGTTTGTTCCATATATACTCTTCCTAAATTTATAGAGAATAATGATAATTATTTAAATGGAATGATTTTTTTTAGAAGGCGGGATATTTTGAAATATTACGTGGAGAAATAGAAAGGAAATTAACTCTTATTTAAGAGGAAGTTTTGGGAATTATGGTAGTAATTAGGAAAGGCTCATAATTAACGTGTGAAGGATGAAGGAAAAAGAAATAAAAATAGAAAAAAACACATAAAGGAAAAAGTAAGAAAAAACTAAGGAATTCCAAAGATTTGAATTTGATTGTATCATTTTATTTTATTTTTGGTTTTCTATTTTTCATTCTTACTTCACTTTTATATCATAAATTCATATAAAAAATATATTAAAAAAATGACTGTATGCAAATAATTAGTTCTTTTTATAAAATAATTTGAATTTTTTTTGTTATAATTATAAAAAAATTGTCCTTTTTATGCATTCAACCACATAAATTTTGCGATGCTTCCAAAATAACAAAAAGACTCAAACTCGCAATCTTTAGATAAAGATGAGAAGAATTGAAATCTCATCACAATTATATTTAATAACTTATGTGCTTTGATTAAAAAAAAAATCAGCAATTCTCTTAGTTATATTAGTCACACTTTTTTTTCTTCCTTAACCATTTCTATTGAGTCTTAGTTTTTTAGTTATTTATATGTACATTTTTCTTTTTTCCCCATATTTTTTGCTAATTCTTTACATTTTATATTTTCTCTATTCATGTGTTGTATTAAAAAGAGCTGTTTTTTTAATTATCTTAATTACACTTTTTATTTGGTCATGATCAATAGTTTTAAAGAAAAATACTTATACAAATGTAAAGATATATGTTCTTTCCTTTTTTTTTTGTCTTACATGAGTTTTATAATACACAATTGATAAGAAATTTAAAGGTGAAATTATTTATGGGACAGAAATGCTTATATACTACGTATATCGTGAAATACTTTTTGGGCAAAAAACTTAAGTATACAACTTAATAACTTTAATTACACGAATATAGCAATATTATTTTTTTTCAATTGAATAGAAATATTTATTTTTTCAAAACTGGAATTCTTATTAAAATAAAAAATAAAAAAATGTTTACCAAGTCACCCACAATTATTCATATCCCTTAAATTTCTCCAATTATTTTACCTTTCATGATTTACTCCAATTTGTTATATAGCATATCCCATAAAGAAAGGTTTGCTACAAAATAAAACTTCTGTTCCAAACTAAGATCGACGATCAAATATGCAGACCAATAATTTTTCAATTCTAATTCATCACAGCGGGCGTTGGGACTCATCAGGTAATCTTTTTGGTAGTAATTTCTTTGATTTTGTCGAATTTGGTGGAATATACATTCTTAAGATTTTGGTTAATGTTCAGGTGCAACGGTAAAAGGTATAATTATTAAATAGATATTAAGATTTAGCAATTGTTTGTGGAATATTAATAGGATTTTCACATAATCTGCGTTTTAATTATTTTTGGTATGTATTCGTTGTTTTATATTAACGATTTTGGTGTAATACAACAACATCATATGATTTTGGTTGTAATCTGATGAGCCGAATAAGTTTTTTTTTTTAAAATTAGGTTAAATTGATTAAAGCACCAAGTTAATATAAAATCATTAATTAAGTGGTTTTATTGATATGTTGTATGCCGAATATTAATAAATTTTATCAATAGTTTCTTTTGGTATGTGATATGGTGTACACATACCAACTTCAAGTTAAATTTCAGGTACATATTTTTATGTATTTAGTTGTATTATTTGGTATATAAAATATATTTTTCAAAAAAAAAATTGGTTAATTTTTTGGTGTATTTTATTTATCTGAATTGGTGTAGATAATAATTTGAAAATTTGTCATATGTGATCTAATACTTAATCTGGTATATTTGTTTCTATAAATTGGTGGTAAATTAATACTCTGATAAATGTGTTAGTGTATTTTTGGGTTAAATGTCAGATTACTTTTGATACGTCGATTGGTGTAATACATTGTATGATTTAACTGATTGTGTGAATTACCACAAATTGGTTTAGGTATGTGATGTGGTATTTATGCTGATATATTTGTTTCTAGTAAATGACACCAAATTAATACTATGATGTATGAGTTGGTGTATTTATTGGTTAAATACATAATATCATAATTTCAAAATACGTAATAAATTATTGATGTATGAGTTGGTGTATTTATTGGTGTAATAAATTATTTGGTGTAATTGATGGTGAAAATTTTGGTGAAAACTTTGGTGCATATTTTGGGCAATTACTAAAATATATTGATAACTGTCTTATATACCATCGAATACCAATGTAA